TAATACATTATCATTAGTTTTTATTTTTTTATGTTTTTTTTTTATTAACACATCGGCCTATTCCCACCAAGGCAGGGTCGCCCGAAAAAGAAAAACTTTCATCATCATCATTCACTCCATCACTGTCTTGCCAGAGGGGTACTTTACACTACAGTTATAAAACTGCAACATTAACACTCCTCCTCCTCAATTTAGGTAACTAGAGCACAGATCCAATTACCTAGATCAGGAGCCCCTCACCAGCATCAAGGTTCCTTGATGCTGGTGAGGGGCTCTTGATCTAGGGAATTGGATCTGTGCTCCAGTTACCTAAATTAATAATAATAATAATTATTATTATTATTATTATAATAGAGCTTCAGTTCCCTAAATTAATAATAATAATAATACATACATATTAATAATTCAGAATGCTGCCGCTAGATGGCACAGTTGATGCCAAAACATCGTACGGGTCTCCCTCAACATTCGCGTTTTCAACTTTCGCGGGCTTCACAGATTCGCGAATTCCCAACTGCCAAATTCCCAGCCTCCAAATTCCCAGCCGCCAAATCATATTTAAGTTTCCCGCCACCTGCGAGTCCCTACTACCCTCCCTCCGACCCCCGCAACTGGCAGCCAGCCCTCCCACCAGTGTGGTGAGTGTTTTGTTTGTTCATTTGCTATTAAACTACAGTAGTATAAATAATGTAAACCCATTCATGACTGCATTTTGGAATGGCTATTCGGACAGGTATTGGACGGTGACATCATGTGTTTACTCTTGAGAACAGCAAAGAATCAAACATTTCTGCTACTGCTAATAATAACAATAGTAATAATAATAATAATAATAAATACGATAGAATTGAAGAAGGAAATTGTACAAAATTACGAGGGAGTGATTGACACATCGTCAGTGTGGCTTTGTTTATGCTGGAGTGACCATTAGTCTCCATGCTCTTCCAAACATTTCACAATAATTCATTGTGTTTGGTGCTTGTAGATTGAGTGGGACTGGAGTGGTGGAGGCAGTGGTTGAGGAAGCGGTTGAGGCAGTGGGTGAGGCAGCAGTTGAGGCAGTGGTATTTAACAACATACATGTTATTAATAATAATAATAATAATAATACATGTTATTAATAATATGTATTATTATTATTTATAACATGTTATTAAATACCATTGCCTCAACTGCTGCCTCTACTATTGCCTCAACTGCTGCCTCTACCATTGCCTCAACTGCTGCCTCTACCATTGCTTCAACCGCTGCCTAAACTGCTGCCTAAACCGCTGCCTCTACCAGTGCCTCAACCGCTGCCTCAACCGCTGCCTCAACCACTGCCTCACCCACTGCCTCACCCACTGCCTCACCCACTGCCTCAACCACTGCCTCACCCACTGCCTCAACTGCTTCCTCAACCACTGCTTCTACCACTCCAGTTGCACTCAATCTACAAGCACCAAACACAATGAATTATTGTGAAATGTTTGGAAGAGCACGGAGACTAATGCTCACTCCAGCATAAACAAAGCCACACTGACGCTGTGTCAATCACTCCCTTGTATTTTTGTACAATTTCCTTCTTCAATTCTATCGTATTTATTATTATTATTATTATTATTATTATTATTATTATTATTATTATTATTATTATTACTATTGTTATTATTAGCAGTAGCAGAAATGTTTGATTCTTTGCTGTGTTCAAGAGTAAACACATGATGTCACCGTCCAATACCTGTCCGAATAGCCATTCCAATATGCAGTCATGAATGGGTTTACACTATTTATACTGTAGATTAATAGCAAATAATGAACAAACAAAACACTCACCACACTGGTGGGAGGGCTGGCTGCCAGTTGCGGGGGTCAGAGGGAGGGTAGTAGGGACTCGCAGTGGTTGAGGTAGTGGAGGCAGTGGTATTTAATAACATACATGTTATTAAACCATAACATGTATGTATTTAGTACAATTTACGAAGTTTTCATGTATTTTATGATGTTCGTGGTTCAACAAGTTACGGAAGCAGTATTGTATTATATTTCCCTACAATATATTGGGGCACCAAACATTCGCAATTTTTCAACATTCACGAGGATCTTGATCCCCTAACCCTCGCGAATGTTGAGGGAGACCTGTACATATGTTTACATCGCTGTGGGAGCAGTTCTCTCGTGCTTGCTTGCATTTTTTTTTTTTACGGTCATTTTGCCAAATTTCTTTTTTCTAACCATGAGTCCTAAGAAAATAAGTGCAAAGGACAGTGCTGAGAAGAAAAAAATGATGATTTCCATGGACTTAGCCAGGCAGTACCAGCTTAGTACATCTACGATATGTAGATACTAAAGCTGTATCAGTTATGTTCAGTGATTAAACAAAACAAATTGTATCAGTTAAGTTCAGTGATTAAACAAAACAAATTTTATCAGTTAAGTTCAGTAATTAAACAAAACAAATTTTATCAGTTAAGTTCAGCGATCAAATAAAACAATGTTGTTGTTGGGGGTTTACATGGCCACTGACATCATACGCCGCAGCCTCAGCTTCCCCCATCCTCAACATCCCCCACCTTCAACATCCCCTACCCTCAACCTCCCCCACCCTCAACATCCTACCACCTTCAGCATCCCCCACCCTCAACCTCCCCACCCTCCCCCACTCTCAACATCCCACCACCCTAAGCATCCCCCACCCTCAACCTCCCCACCCTCAACATCCCCCACCATCTCTGCTCCAAATGTGTAAGTACATATACACTTTATATAAACAGTTTAACATTTCTTTACATTCTGTACTGTATTATGATTTATGTTTTTATATACGATATTTCTGCAGTTAGCCTCACAAACTGTGTTTTCTCTTACAATAAGAGCATGTGAAGGAAATGGCGGACACTTCCGCCACTGCTTTTGCCACCATATTATGGCTTGTTTTATTCATTCTAGAGTATATATCATGTTTATGTTTTAATTATATTGTTTATTATGTCATATTAGATGAATTGTGATAGATAAATAAGCCATACAGTTAATATTAGTGTCATATTCAAGTATTTTGTCTTGTCTTCAGAGTGCAGGAACAGATTAATGACTTTTCAATTAATTTAAATGAGGAAAATTGATTTGATATACGAGTAAATTGAGTTACGTGCTAGGTCACGAAACAGATTAGACTCGTAAGTCAAGGTTCCACTGTACTTCAATGTAAACACTTGATCTGCACATCCCCTACCCACTCTAAAGCCACTTATATAGCTAGTTTGTCATTTTTATTTATTTTTAATCCCTGAATGATGGCAAATAGCAAGGAGAATTTACATATGAGGTGTTTTCATTTATTATCGGTATTGTTATTACCACAGGTATTGTACTATCTTGTGATATGGCTCTTGGTGTACATATTTTTGGTCTTCCCAGCACTGTCTGTAATCTGGTCTGTTGTACATTTGGCCTGGTATGTGTAGAACTGATTAACTGCATCCCATTGCCATGTGTGTCTGTAAACCCCATGATCTCTCATTGGGTTTCTTTGTTTTTTCTTAGATAGCTACACCTTCAAAAAAAAATGCTAAATGATCTTTTGCCTGATTCAGATGACATACTGCCAAAGATAATGAAAAATGCAAATTGCAAAATAACTTTTGTAGGTACAACATTATTTTTTTTTATTTATTAACACAGCTGTTTCCCACCAAGGCAGGGTGGCCCAAAAAAGGAAAACTCTCATCATCATTCACTCCATTACTGTTTTGCAAGAGGCATGCTTACACTACAGTTATAAAACTGCAACATTAACACCCCTCCTTCAGAGTGCCGGTACCATACTTCCCATCTCCAGGAATCAAGCCCAGCATGCTGTTTTCCCTGAATCCCTTCATAGATTATTATTATTATCCAAAGGAGATGCTAAACCTACCAGGGTCATACAGCACTGCAGGGTAGGAATTGATGCATGTTCTAAGGATAAATAAGGGTGGAGATGACAGTGAGGGTAAAGTTAGGAAGAGGTGTGAGGAGTGCTAAAAGAAGAATTATCAAAATTTGTGTAATAAATCATTTGCTGTCAAAAGTCGAAGAGGGAGTCTTTGTCAAAAGTAGGTTCATCAGCAAGGAGGGAAAATAAAGTAAGGGCGTGAGAGCAGTGACAATGTCAGAGGAAAATTCTGCGTGCTCATTGATAGACATGACAGTCCAATAGAATATGGGAAATTGAAACAGGAACTAAACAGTTCTCACAAAGTGGAACAGGATGCCTCTCCACGAGTTAGATGAGTGTGTCTGATACGAAGATGAGAGTGTTGTCTCCCAACCTTTATCAGGTCCCACTAAACCTGGTTCTGCATTGTCTTCTTTTCACGATCTCTCGCTGCTTTAAAATAAGGCATACATTTTTTTCCTATTTTGAAATACGTATACGTCTTATCAACGATTTTATGCCAGAGAAGGCCAGTCTTCTCTACATTAAACTGTAATTTTTATCTTGGTAACATTAAAATTAACAAAATTTTTTGCAAACTTGTCAACTGATTTTACACCAACACTTAAACTTCCCCACTAGTTGTAAAATCATGCAAATATGCTCTGGCCTTCAACCTAGTGAGCCACCCATGTGTTGCAGTAAATGGCTCCACTTCACAAGCACTATTTCCTAATTGATTCTTTAAGTCACAATAGACTCCTGAATTAGTATAAGGCTAAGAGGCATTCTCTAAGACTGGTTGTTAACATCAAAAGATTTTTCATAGTGATAGTTGAATGTATGGGTGCAGATCCTATAACATGTTCCAAGTAATGTACTTTGTCCTTGATAATCATGGCAAGGGTAGACCAGTTCACACCGTACATGCAGGAAATGTTCAGTGTCTTTGACACAGTGAAATACTGATTTTGATTAGGAGGATGAGCTGAATGTGCAATGGTTTACAAACATTTTTTTTTAGTGCTAAGTCAATTTTTTTTTTCTGTTAGTATAAAAGTTTTTTCCCTAATAAGTCTTCATGTTCCTATTTTTGCCATAGGTTGTAACAGCAGAATGCGGTGACATAATTGAAAGTGAGAAGATGCGTGGCTTGGTAGATGGATATGTAGTACTGTACAAGCATCGCAGAACAAAGCTGCAGCTGACCTCCTCTAACTGATGCCTCTTGAAGACTTTTAAGACCACAGCATCTAGAAATTCTATTCTGTGATTACCACATTTGAATATGTGATAAAAAAAAATACTGTTTTCATGGTGTATAAACACTAAATGTACAAAATATCCCATTTTGATTTTGGTTAGTGCAGTTGAAAAATCGTCATTATAATTAGTTTTATTTTAAGATTATTAAAAGGTAACAATAAGTATATACAGAAAGTTTGAAATCCTTTTGGTATAAATGGGTTATTTTATTATTTAAAATGTATTTAGAAGACTCACGCTATTATTTCTTAGTATATTTCGTTTGCTCAAGCTCTGAACGATGTTATCAACTTTTGTAGCATTAATTTTTTCTTCTATTCTGTACTATGCTTAAACACTATTATTCTGGTCATGTCAGAAGCTTTCTGTCAGACTGAGTACTGTATATCTAAAATATTATATAAATGCTCTGTATGTTTTCTTTAAATTGTTTTGATACAGGTGTTGTAGATGATTTAAGCCTCAATTATGTTAGAATGCAGCAAAATAACTGCATAATTACAGAGTAGTATAAAAAAGAATAACTTAATTAGAAGACTTATTGTGAGGCTATGCCACTGGCTACTAAAATGACTTATGGCAAGAGTGAAGTCTATCATAACTGATGAATAAAGTAAAAAAAAAATTTCATTTCATTTCTTGCATTCCTTCACACACGATGAGCAAAGATGCAAGAATGTTTCCAGGTCGACCGACCTGTTTGTGCTTACGTGACACCGTGTGTACATCTGCTTGTACACGTTTCTAGAAAATGCTGCTTGTGCTCTTTTAAGTGTTTTGATAAAACTGTTATGGATTATTTAAGGAGGGCATTTCTATATGAACCATTCAGGTTTAGCAGGTGATTTTTTATATAATAAATATGAGAGTATTTAAATTTACTGTAATTTAAGTGTAATTGGTTTTGAATTAGGTCAGTATAAGAACTTAGTACAAGGTTTGGAATTATTCTTTATTTTGGCCTCATGAATTATTTCAGCATTGAAAAGTCTCTTAACCATTGTACAATATTATATTATCAGATACTAACTATTTGGCTAATAGTAACCCAGAATAAAAAAAAAAGTACACTAATCTGTACATATGTACAGGGTATGAATTTCAAGCTTTCCTTAATTTTATAATTCATTATTCATGTTTAATTTTCCTTTACCATACTTTACACAGAAATAATTGACCTAGGAAAGGTTCACAAATAAATGTAAATTGCTTCATGAATACTGTTGTACCTGGAAAAAGGTGTTAAAAATTATTTTACATTCTCACTTATTTCCATTATTATTATTATATTCATGGAGAGAGCTCCGGACCTGTAGGGGATTCATACAGTGCCTGGAGAAATAGAAAGCACTCAAGTTTGATCCAAGAAAGAGAAGGACAAGGTCAGTTCCTTAGATCAAAAGCCCCCTTCACAGTATTAAATCCTCTCTCCTGAGAAGTCTTATTTGCAATATGATTTTGAAAGTAATTTAACAGATTTTTTGGCTCTGCTTCCTGTTACTATCTTGTGAATGTGCCTTGTGTGATTCATTATTATTGTATTTGAAGTTGTACAGAACTAGGTAGAAAGAACCAAACTGCAAATAAAAATGGGAAGTCCATGGTCAGACTTCCAATTTGGCTGCTTGATTAGCCAGACTACCATATTTCCATGTGTCCCTTGCTCACCCACACATAGAGACCTGTATACGCCTTGTTTCTGGTTGCCTGGAAGTTTATTATTATTATTATTATTGTTGTTGTTGTTGTTATAAAAAAGTGCTAAACCTCTAAGTGTAATACAGTTCCTGAAAGTTAAGCTTCCATCTAGAGCTGCGACCCTTTGGTGAGTGAAAAGGGGTCAGGTAGGCAACTTTGTGTTGATCTTATAATTGGATTATCCTGCATCACTGTCTTGTAGTGGTCTAAGTGCCAATCCATTTGTGTTCTCGCTGTCCAGACTTACGGTTCTTGGGTTTTAGTTGGTGGTTTACCTTTTGGATGGCTTCCACAAATGGTGAGTTCAGGTATGAAGCTAGAGGGTTTGTCACTTAGTCTAATGACAGTCTACTGGGGGCAGTTTTTGACTAAATTAACCCTTTCAGGGTCCCCAGGCCCTCTCCCAGACTTGTTCTCAGGGTCACCCAAATTTCCAAAAAAAAAAAATTATTTTTTCTTATGAAAAGATAGAGAATTTTTCCCCGTTAATAATGACACCAAAAGTATGAAATTTGATGGAAAACTTACGGAATTATGCTCTCGCGAAGTTAGCGGTCTCGACGATGATTACGCATCGGCGATTTTGCCCACTTTGAGCCCTATTTTCGGCCAATTCCAGTGTACTAGTCGACAAAAATCATAACTATTTCACTAGAATTCCGTTTTTTCTATCAAATGAGTACAAGAAACCACCCATTTACAGATTTCAACTATCCAATACAGTGGTCAGAATTTAGCAATTTTGCCAATTTCACACAAATTTCAAAAGATGCCAGTTTCCAAATAGGGTCCAGAATAAACAAGAAAGACATTCCTGGCACTAAAATAACATTTCCTCTGTTCATTAGTCATGTCCCCACGCCCCTCTTACATTCTTTTGCTTTCCACTTTGAATTTTTATTCTCACAAAAAATAAAAGATTTACTGTTATGCAGACTACTGCATTAGTGTAGAAATGGTATAAATAATATCAGCGCACTTGTGAAAGAATATTAGACGCAACAGTTGACGTGTATTGGATGCGTAGCATGATTTGTTTACTTTTGAACTTTGGCAAAAATTTAAGATTTCTGCTACTTTGAGCTCAATTTCAAGGTACTTTTCTTTGTAAAACCAATCAAAATCGTCTCAATTTCAGTAATATGTCTTCCATTCTATAAAATGAGACCAGGAAAACTAGAATACCATCATAAATACTATACAAAAATACAGTGCAAAGTCACTGTTTTAAACCAAAAACACTGTCAAAGTTTTTTTTCTCATTACGCACTGTGCTCCAGGATTTTTTTACACTGTGCACACTGACCACATAGACCCATTCTTTCATATATAGGCCTACCAGCTTTCTCTCACTAGATTTGAGAGCACTAGAATTTAGGCGTACTAGTACGTCAAAAACCCTGCTGCGTAAGCCGTACTAGTATGTCGGAAACCCTGAAAGGGTTAAAGCGAGGATGGGCACTCTCTTCATCCTGTAGCTGGTTACTCACATGCACTTCTTTTTAGCTTTGGGTGGTTAGTGTGCTTAGTGCCTCCCCTTGTTGGGCTCAGTGGTGGGTTAGGGGTAGGGGGAGGGTATGAGGCATTTCCCAAAAGTTACTGGACTGCCACGAAAAAAAATATTTAGGCTTACCTAATCGCATAGTTGCAGTTGATTCCCTCCAAGTACTCTCCTTGGGAGGCTATACACTGGTCCCAGCACCTCTGCTGCTTCCCAAAACATTTCTGGAACTCTTCTTTCCTAACAACATCTAGCACAGCCTGCAATTCTGCTTGAATTTCCTCCACATCATTGCCATGGAAATCAGGAACTATTTTGTCTGTGTTTCCCAAGGGCTTCACCTTTTTTCCTCATTTCATGCTTCTAAGTCTACCAAGGAGCAATTGCCCTTTGATTTCTCCTCTAATGGAATGAAGCCGTATAACGCACCTTTCACTCCCCTAGAGCTAGAGTCCACGCTTTCCGCTTGCCAGTCATTGGCAGCTGGGCCTGATGATATTCATATCATTATGCTACAACATCTGCATCTACGGTCCTTACAGTCCTTTTGCGTCTTTTCAATCTTATTTGGGTGCTGGGGGTTCTCCCTCAGTAGAAATCTGCCATTGTACTACCGTTTCACAAACCAGGCACCTTGGGGCTTGATACCTCTCACTATTGTCCCATTGCCTTGACCAGTGTAGTCTGCAAGGTGATGGAATGATCGGTAAATAGACGTTTGATATGGTTCTTGGAGATTCACAATAGTCTTTCCCCTCGCCAATATGGCTTTTGCAAGGGCCGCTCTACTGTTGGACCCCTTGCTTCACTTAGATAAGTATGTGCGAAATGCCTTTGCTAACAAACACTCCATCCTAGCAGTCTTTTTTGATCTTGAGAAGGCATATGATACCACTTGGAGGTATGACATTTTAAACCAAGCCCACTTTTTAGGCCTCCATGGTAATCTACCAACTTTCCTTACTGCTTTCTTATCTGAAAGACATTTTCGTGTACGTGTTGGCGCCTCACTTTCCTCAGGCTTTGTTCAGGCCAATGGTGTCCCACAAGGTTGTGTCCTTAGTACTACCCTTTTACTCTTGGCTATAAATAACCTACCTTCTGTTCTTCCAATGCATATTTGGTCGTCACTTTATGTGGATGACTTCGGTATAGCTTACACAGGGGCTGACTGTCGCCTGGTACCAGCCTCCCTTCAGGATGCGATTCATCGAGTTTCCCATTGGACCACTTCTCATGGATTTAAATTTTCTAGTTCGAAAACCCATGTCATTACCTTGACTCGACATCCTCTTGTACCAGGTACTCCATTTATATGGCTTACATAGTTCAGAGTGTGATTCGGTCAAGTTTCTTGGCCTTGTCTTCAATTGCCAGTTGACATGGAAACCTCACATTTCCTCTTTGAAGGCAGCTTGCTATGGTCGGCTTAATCTCCTTAAAATTCTTGGGCATCATTCATGGGGAGCAGATCGTCGGACTCTTCTCCATTTGTATTCTGCCGTAGTCTTGCCGAAGCTGGATTATGGCTTCTCCTGCCACTCTTTCTAGGTTAGATCCCCTTCACCATCAGGGTCTACATTTATGCCTTGGTGCCTTTTGTTCATCTCCTGTTGAAAGCCTCTATGCTGAGGCAAATGTTCCTTCCTTAGCTGATCATCGGGATGCTCGTTACCTTCGTTACTTTGTCCGTTCTCATGACCTTCGTGTTCCGTCTACATATAGGTTGGTCTCAGACGTTAGTAGAAGCCCATTATTTGTTTGACGCCCCTGCTTACTCTGGCCGTTTTCTCTTAGTCTTCACCCTGGTCTTCTCTCCAGTTGCCTCCCTTGTATGTTCATTTAGCATCTGAGTTTTCCCTTCTCCCTTGGGAGATTCCAACGGTTCGTGTCTGTTCTCCCCTACTGCGGTGCACCAAAGCTCTCCTATCTATGACTGCTTCTCGCTCTCTATTTTTTGATCACCTCTGGTTGCATGCTCATGCCATTACTGTTTATACACATGGTTCTAAATCTTGACAGTGTTGGATTCGCATTAGTGTTCCATGACGTTGTTGTCTGAGGTCATTTGTTAGACTCAGCTAGTATTTTTACTGCCGAGTTGTATGCCATTCTCGTAGCTCTTCTCCGTATTACATATATGTCTCCTTCAAAGTTTGTGATCATTTCAGATTCTCTCATTGCTTTACAAGCCATTAAATAATTTGATTCCCTTCATCCATTAGTCCTTCACATTCGACTATGGTTGTGCTGTGTGGCTAGCAAAAACAAGGACGTCATTTTCTGTTGGGTCTCTGGACACATTGATGTGCAGGGCAGTGAACAAGCAGATGCTGCTGCATGGTCAGCAGTCCATGATTTTCTGGTTTCCTATAGGGGTATTCTGTTCAGAGATTATTTTCCGGTCATCTCGGCCCGTCTTCAAGGCCATTGGCAACAACGGTGGCCGGGCATGCACCATAACAAATTGCACTCTGTTAAACCACTTTTAGGTTTGTGGCCATCTTCTTACCACTGTTGCCGTACTCAAGACTGCGCTCTCTCGTCTCCGCATTGACCATACTCGCCTTACCCATGGGTATCTCGTGGAACATCACCCTATTCCTCTCTTTGAGGTTTGTCGGGTCCCTATTTCGGTTCTTCACTTTCTTGTAGATTGCCCAGTTTACCAGCGAGCTCGCAGGATTTACCTTCAACGTCGCCATCGCCCTACCACTTACCTTATCTTCCCTTCTTGCAGATGGCCCTACCTTTGACCTACAATCACTTTTCGACTTTGCCAGCAACTGCTTTACTGTACAAACTTTGATATATAGCCCTTCACGTCCCTTCCAGTCCTTCTCTCTCCTCACCTCTGATCCCCTCTCCACCTGGCTGTTCATAGCCCCAGCACTATTTTCTGCCCTGCAGCACTGTATGACCCTTGTTGGTT